CAACTAGTATTGATTATACAACAATATGTAGTATACGTTCAGAATATGCTAATGATAATTTAACATTATTAATGAATATACTTATTGCTGGTGTTTTAAGTTTAGCTATACCATCAATATTAATTTTAATTGTTAATGTAACTATTGTATGTTTTATACGACGTATTTATTCAACACAAGCTGATGATAAAGTTAAACGTCGTTCGGATATAACAAATTATCATTCAACACGTTCAACATTACTTGTTATATCAATGACATATGTATTATTTTATATACCATATTTAATTTTTAATTTTCTTATGATTGTATCAGAAGATCCCAATGGAATAGTACATTATTGGGCAGAAATAACATCTATATTTCGTCATGTTAGTCATTCAGTTAATTTTTATGCATATCTATTTACAAGTCTGACATTTCGTCAGGAAAGTTTATTTTTTTTACGTTATTTATTTCGACCATGTATTTATTTCAAAAAACGACAACAATTTAAACAACGAATCAAACGATCACAACTTATTATTATAGATAAAAGCCCATTACCATTACCGCCTGTACCATTACATAGTTCATTAAATGGAAAATCTCCTCAACAAGTCTATATTCGACGTGTAGATCAAATTAATTATAATCAAGATGAACAAAATTTAATTGGAAGAAATAATGAAACTTGGATGTAGATTTCATTCTAATATATATGTATACGATACTAGTCTGTTTTTCTTCTTCTTCTTCTTCTTTATTGTCATAAAAATAAAATAAAATAAACTTTGCCAGTACAAATTTTTAATTATGTTCTACTTAACGGCAAATAATTGATCTCTTTTCTATTTACTTTCAAGCGTTAATAATTTTCTAACATACATTATTGTTATTAAAACTGAAGTATACTTACCAACAAAAGAGATTTACAAAAAAAAAAAGGAAAGAGTGATGACGTTATTGTTTGTATGACTGAGTAAACATATTTAAACATGAACGCGGTTTTTCAATGTCATGTTAATACGAAATGTTCCATACGCCTACCTTAATCTTTTCCTATCCTTATGATATACCATCTTCATTGTAGCAGCATTAATTATATTTAGTTAATTATGATTATATTGTATTTTTCTGCTACAGAAAATCTTCAAACTACATATAATTTATCTGAAAATCGAGATTATTAGATGTAAATATTCAGTACATTGATCTGCGTACTGTGCATTTAATTAAGTTCTTTTGACGGGCAAATATATATATGCAAGCTAGTAAAACATAAACAATCGATGTTTTCGATTAATCAATAAACTCGTTATTCGAAGCAATATGTTTATTTAGTAATTATTCTATTTTTTTACATTGATCTAGAATAAACATTATTAACTGTTTTTACAATTCTTCAAATGCATATATTCCAGTGGAAGATAATTAAATGATCAAAAAAAAGGACCTGCTTCAGAAAAAAACAAAATTATTCTATTTTCAGTGTAAATGATAAGTTTACATTTACCAGATAAATGTCATCTGACAATTGTCAACCGTTATGTATTTATCATAATAGGATCTAAATTGTCATTGAATAGAAATTGCACTGAATTTGTATTAATTGTAAAAAAAAAGTGCTACGCTAATAATAATAGAAGTGTTTCTTTTACTTTTTTATTGCGCAGAAAATAATTATTGATGCTTTGATTTGAATTTTTTGTTATTCTAAGAATTTCGAGTAAACTTACTAGTTTATCATCTGCATATGATCGAGTTCAATAATAAGCTAATTCATCATCTTCGTCATAGCTCAGAAGAAATATCTGTATGAATTTAAATATTGCAAAACAGTAAGAAATGAAAACGATTGTTTATTATTCATCAATCAAAAAATTCGCCATAGTAAATATAATCAATAATTTATTTATTAAAAATACCTTCGTGCTTCAAAATCTTAGAGAAGAAATGATAGAGATAACAAAACTTTAAATATCATTCGAAAAGATTTTTTTTCCTCTAGTATTTGCTTTAGCGAAGGACTTATTGATATCAAATGTAGCTGCAGTTTATAATCAAGGTGAGTACATTTTTTTTTAATTTATTTGACAGTTTTCTATTCGAGTTGTTTTTATCAAATTCTTTGATAAGATCTTAATTCAATATAATATGACTTATGTTAAATTCGACGTTAAGTTAGATACACTGCATGCACTTCTACAAGTTTTACATTGATTAATTAAAGAAAGTAGAATAAAAGTTATTTTGCTAGATGTATTTAAAAAGTATAAATACAAAAAAATATTAAACACTGGAATAATAATAAACGGTTGTATCTAACCAATGCTGGATTATATATTTAAAGAAAAAGTCAAATAACTACAGATAGATGATAGAATTTGTATTGCTGCATTTGTTTACTATAAAAAAAAATTTAAAAGAAAAAATCAGATAAGTAATTTAAACGATGAACTTACATGAGATTTTTTAGCTTTGTTAGCGGCTTGATCAGCACCAGATTTTACTTTATCGGCACCACTTTTTACAGAATCACGAGCTTTATTAATAGAATCATCGGATGTTAATTTATCTTTCTATTAAATATAAAATTATTATACTATAGACTAAAAATATATATTATATACTAACATTATCTTTAATCCAATCTTTTGCTTTATTAACTGCATCTATAAATAATAGAACTGAATAAATATAAAAAGTTTTTATAGAAAATAATCTAACCTTTAGCTGAATCAGCCATATTACCAGCAGCTATAGATAGAATACAATGAATATATATGAACAATTCTATAAAAAAATTAATTTACCATCACGAGCTTTATCAGCATAATCACCTGCTTTCTCTTTGATTTTACCAGTTGTTGATTGGTCACTATTACCAAAGCCACCTGATGTTTGAGAAGCTGGACTACTTTTATTACCAGAACTACCTCCTTGTTGACCTTGACCACCTAATGGTTGAGAAGCTGGACTGCTTTTATTGCCAGAACTACCGCCTTGTTGACCTTGACCACCTAATGGTTGAGATGATGAACTGTTTTTATCTGATGATTGAGATGCTGGGCCACTTCCACCATAACCACCTGATGTTGTATTACTGCTATTGCTGCCTGGACCTTTAGTACCAAGTGCACGCACAAAACTTGTTTGTGCAACTATAATATCAAATAAATATGTGTTATTTTCTATTAATTAAAAAAAAAGAATTTTTTTTATTTACTTCTTGAACCATATAAGAATGTACGTGTAAGACTACTAGCCATGTTATATATTATACGTTAAATAAATGATATGAAATCTAGAGAAGAAAAAAAATCGATTTTTACTCCATGAGCTTAATATGTTTCATCGTACATCGAATAAAGAAATGATACAATTGCGTAGATGAAATAAAACGATAAACACATGTATTCACCGATATCTAACACGTGTCATTTACACGTGCAAATATTCTACGAGATTGTTCAAAGATGTTAGTAAGTTATTATATAGAAGAATATTCTTGATTAATGATAATTAGATTAGTATCAATATCAGATAAACTTAGTAAACTATATTATAAAATCAAAAATAATAGCGACATCTAATATTTACTCGTTCCTCTTACGCGTATACTCCGATTATTCGAATGGTACAGTCTTGTAACTTACTATGTATATATATATACCTGTGGTTATATTTTTTCGACGTAATTTATATTTTTTTGTGTTGACACAGAGAACAATAATACTTTTATTGGTTATAATACAGAATTTCTACCCCTATCACTATCTGTTGGCATTTTTATATTTTTTCAAATAAAAATAAAATCAAAAACTTGATAGTAATAAGTCTTGTATTGAGTGATATACGATGTATTAAATATAAGTCAAAATATATCTCAAAAGAAAATGAAAAAATCAAGTGACATCTGTATAAGTATCGAGAAATTATAGTCTTCTATTTAAAGCGAAGATCATTATATAGATCACGGCTTTATCCTATTAATTTAAAACTGAAGTTTATAATAAAATGTTCAAAAGATTTATTCGAAAACTTGCTGATTATTCCTATAATTCACTATAATCTACGTAGAAACATAACTATATATAAATCTAATTGATAATTAAAGGTAATACATCTTATAGCGACGTTACCTTTTTGATTATTGTTGAAAAAAACTATAGTTAGACGTAAGAAAACCATTAAAATTTGCCTTTTATACACTATTAAACTGTATCATTGATGAGACAAATACGAAAATAATACGAAAATTTTAAATTTTTATTGTGGAGATGGAGTATCTTGTTCATGACTACTGAAGTTAGTCAAAACGTCGATATGATCGTTATCATCCTTATATTATCAATCATAATTTACATTTCTTCACATTAAATAAAAAATTTAAAACTATCAAACTCATTTAACGAACATCATTTTTTCTTACGCAACTATTTCAAACAAAAAAAAACACCTGTTCTATTAGTATTTGAAATTACATGTGAACAAAGGAGTATAAAGATTGTAAAAATGAATATCTATAATATAACATGGTTTTATACATAACAGAAAGTTGAGTCATCAAATGTAACTTCAAAGAAGACGTCATATTATTGTTTCATTAATCATCAATACTTCATCTATTTTTATGCAGATCTTTCTAATCTTCTGTCGTAAATCTCTATGATTTTATATACTAAACTTTATGTGCACCAAAATACTCTTGATTAGATAAAGAATTATTCTCCTATAATACAAAATCCGTAGGTATGGAAGTCCGGTTCTTTCAATAAAACAAGATGTCGCTACTTCTAATACTCATCATTACATAATTTTATCATTGGCTACCAAATGTTGTTAACAATATTGCCTGAGAAACATTGAAGATTATTTTAAATCAAAAATCCTCACCGAGTTTTGGGTTTTTTCCCACACTGGGTATTTCAGTTATAGTACTATTTTTTTACATAGTAGGATATTTCCAATAGCAACTCTCTTTTACATTCTATTTAATTAATTTTAAACTAAAATATATGTCAGCATCAGGATCACGTGGTCGAGGTCGTGGTAGTAAGTAAACAATATTTGAAATAGATCAATTGTAAATATTTAAATAATAATTAATAATTTATTTAGAAAGGTTTAGTCGGCCAGCTACAGGCCCTCCAGAACCCTATCGATCTCAATCGATGGCTATTATACCTGAGAAATTCCATCAACTAAATATAGATAATAATATTCCTAGTCGTCCTCCATCACTCTCTACCACTACTACTACTACCACCTCTTCAGGACGTAAATCAAATGGAGAGCAACGTAAATCTACGTCACGTTCTTCGAATGGTCGTGCTAAATCAACACGACCTTTTCGAGAAACTATTCGTTCAGCTGTACCAGATTCAGCAATAGTCACATTTGCTAGACGGCCAGATCAAGGTGGAAGTGGTAATTGAAAATAAATTAAATAATTCGTTTTAGAAAATTCTCTTATTTTTATTTTATTAGCGGGTTATAAATTAAAAGTAAATACAAATCATTTCAAATGTAATATACCTCAAACATTACATTGTCATCAATATGATATTGAATTGCAAACAGCTAATCGAGATGGTACATGGCGTCCATCGAAAAAAGATGATCGTTTTGTTGTTTTAAGAAAAATAATTGAACGTGAAAATTTTCCATTAGTTTGGTATGATGAAGGCAAAAGTCTTTATTCAATTGAGTTACTTGTGGGTTTAAAAGATCAATATGAAATAACTATAAAAGATAAAAAAAGTGATCGAGAACAAACATATCGTTTATTAATTATTAATCTAGTTAAATCATATGATATACAGGTTAGAGATTCAATTGAACAAAAAAGAAAATAAATATATATTTATTTCTATCTTAGGTTCTTTGGGATTTTATTGAGAATAAAATTGCTATTCGTCCTAGAGATCCAATTCGAATTCTTGAAACACTTCTTAAACAAACAACTCGTGCAACAATGGTTTCCGTCAAAAATCAATTCTATGATCGACGACAAACATTAGATGATTTAGGTATAATAAAATTCACCCGCGAAAGGCTTAAGAACAAACTAATTGAAATCTATTATTCTTTAATTTAAAGGTGATGGTCGAGGTTTAGCTGGTGGATTTTATCAAGCAATGTTTTTAACGAAACTCGGTGCTACAATAAATATTAATTCTACATTCACTTGTTTTTATCAACCATTCAATTTAGTTCATTTTCTTTGTGAATATCTTCAACATGATATTGTTCGTGATGGTAAAAACTGACTAATTTTTTCTTTTCTTTCTTATTCTTTACTGTATGTAGGTATTAATGACCGTGAACAACAATTATTATTACGAAAAGTTCTTAAACCTATATGGCTTGAAACTCATCATGGTGAAAATATTCGAAAATATCGTATACGTGGTTTTGGTGCATCCGCTCGTCAACATACATTTGCACGTGTTGTTGATGGTAATAGTGATGATAGTCAAGAACGACAATCAGTCTATGATTATTTTGTTGAAAAATATAATATACAATTAGAATTTCCAAATTTACCTACCGTTGGTAAGAAATTTCCGTTTTTTTAATTTATTTTGAAATAAATTTCATAGAATTATATACACCTCCGAATAAAACACAATTTCATTATTTACCTATGGAATGTTGTACAATACAAGCATGGCAACGTTCAATAAAACCATTAACTACCGATCAACGTGCTCGTGTAACTAAAAAAACAGTTGTTAATCCAACTCATCGTTATCAAGCAATTATGGATATAGTTAAAACACGAAAATTTAATGAAGATAAATATGTTAATGAAATAGGAATGAGTATTGTCGATGATCAAATGGTAACTGTATCAGCAAGATGTATTGCACCACCTGAAATAAAATATAAAAGTGGACGAGATGGACAAAGTGATATTGTTGAAAGAATTAATATTGGAAAGTAGGAATTTTGTTTTTTTTCTTCAAACTAATATATTTTTCTAATAAGATGGAATTTGAGAAATCGTTTTCAAACAACAAAAACGATTAATCGTTGGGCATGTGTTATGGTTTCATCTCAAAAACCAAATCAAAATCAATTATCAATAGCAAAACAATTCATTGATCAATTTCCTCTTGTAAATCATTAATATTTGAAAGGAAAAAAATTAACTCATTTTCGGTCGTCTATTTAGATTATTTCACAATATGGAATTTATTTTAATTCAAGTCCAATTATGAATAGTGATCCAGCTAATCCTGAAACAATACATAATCGTTTACAAGAATTAAAAGAACAAAATTGTGAAGTTGTAGTTTTTATTCTTAATGGTGTCGGTGAAGATATCTATAAACTAATAAAATATTTTGGTAATCAAAAACTTGGTATCGTTACACAGTAAGAATTAATTAATTTTTTTTAATTAAAATAATTACGAAGTTTTTAGATGTACAGATTTTGTTGCGATTGCAAAAAATATTCGAAGTAAAAAACTTGATATGGTATGATAAATTTGAAGAGAGAGAGAGAGAGATAGTAGACGAGTCTATAATGCATATTTTGTAGTATTTACAAAATCTTGTACAAAAATTTAATGCAAAACTCGGTGGTGTTAATGGTATGGTATCATTAGCTCGAGCATTGACATCATCTTCAACGAAAGATGATGTTTTTATGTTTTTCGGTGCTGATGTTACACATATAACATGTTCAAGAGAAAAACCATCTATAGCTGCTATAGTTGGTTCAGTTGATTCAACAAGTTTGTCCGATGTTTTTTTCTTGTGATTGAATTAGATAGGAAAATCAATTTAAGGTACTCAATATGCATCAAGAGTTGGTGAACAGTATCCTGCTCGAGGAAAAATTTCATTGGAAATAATTAAAGATTTATATCAAATGTCAACTGATTTATTAAAATTATTTGCACAACGTAACCACTGTTTTCCAAATAAAATTGTTTTTTATCGTGATGGTGTTGATGATGGACATTTTCAAAAAGTACTTGATAATGAAATACGAGCATTACAAAATGCTTGTAAAGGTATTTCTATTTCGACATAAAAAAAGAAGATTTTTTTCTCATCTATTTCATTTTAGCACTTTATTTGAATAATCCATTACCAAAAATTACATTTATTATTGTTAAAAAACGTCACAATACACGATTTTTTATTCGAGATCCTCAAACAGGAAATATGAATAATGTACAACCCGGTACTATTATTGATACGGATATTGTTCATCCACAAGGTTTTGATTTTTATTTAAATAGTCATGCTGCTATACAAGGTAGAATTTAAATATGAAGAAAAAACAATAAATATTTGTTTTATTTAGGTACATCGAGACCGATCTTATATCATGTTTTATATGATGAAATTGGTTTTTCATCGGATGAAATACAATCTTTAACTTATTATCTATGTCATTCGGATGTTCGATGTACCAAAGCAGTATCGGTACCAGCCCCGGTTCATTATGCACATTTAGCTGCATATCAATCAAGAGATGCTGATAGTTTTGATAATGATCGAAGTACTACCGAGTAAGAAAATATATATTTTTTTGTTATGTAGAAAAGATTAATTTCTGTTTTTTCATATTAGTGATTTTGATGATAATGATTTAGTTGAAAATGTTGGTGCAGTAACATTACAAGAAGTTGAAACAAGACTTATTCAACTTGATCCTACTATTCAAGATACGATGTGGTATGTATGAAAAACAACATTCGTATCAATAGAAAAGAAAAAAAACGAATATGCATGTGATATATTTATTATATTTTATTCTTCAATATTGTGATGACGGTCCTCATCCGCTTTTAAAATGTTTCTTCTTTTTTTTATTTTATTTTCATTGATGTTGTTTTTACAATATATTTGAATTGTATGTGAAAAAAATTATACAGTGAAAAAAATAATCAAATAAATCTACAAACATTTTATAAAAATTCGACTCATATTTATTAGAAATTCATAAAAAGTACAAGAGACTATTTTCGAATAATAAATAACCAGAAGAATAATTTAGCCAACTTTATAAACTTCAACCTCAAATGTCGTAAAATTCTTAGCTCCTGTAAATGTATTATTACCTTTGCCTGTTGTATCAATATATGAATGAGGAAAATCAGTCGAACTAGAATTATTTTTGTTACTATTATCAGACACATGAACATCATATCCACCACCAAATATAGCTCCATAGCTATTATTATGATAAACAGCATATGCAGCACGATCAGACCGAATAATATATTTCGTAGGTGGAATATTATGAGGATTTATTAGCGTGAATAAAAATGCTGTCCTATCTGCCTTACACTGAGAATTTGAAGTCCATGGAACGACTGTATAACCTCCAAATACACAGTTATTATTTGATCGAATAATTGTCATTGTTGGTCCTTTATTATTACAATGTGTATGAAATGCACTAGCACTAAATCCATCACGTGTTGCTTTGTATATCAATTCCCATTTTTGATTAGCTTTGCCACAAAATTCATTAAGTTTTGCTTTATGTTCTGGCTGAAGTAATGCTCCATTTATAATACTTTTCTCAGTTGCCAATCGTTCTTCATCTTCTTTTTCTACTTTGTGACGTATTCGTAAAGATTCTGTTATTGCATGAATAAGTTTGTGTAAACGAAAATAATGAGCTTCGATAAGAAGACTTTGTAGAAATGTTTCATCTTTTATCATATTTGTTGGTATTACATTTGATCGTAAATAATCAAGAATATAACTAAACATTTTACCATTTCGATCAATAAAAATACTTTTATCTTCAGGATCTTGTTCAAGTTCCCATCGTCTTGAGAATAGTAATGTAAAGAATGTATTCTTCTCTTGTGTTAATGTTTCAATACTTGTAGTATATTTTTCACCTCCAACATTGAGTATAACCACACCTTTACGTAATGCTGC